GGTTACCAACAGGAAACCTGAGATACAGGAGGGCCTGTGTGCCTGGGCTTCCACTCCTCTTAGTGGCCACCCATCTGCCCTCTGGGAAGCCCATGGTGCCATGTGAGGAAACGTCACAGGCTGTCAGGTACATGGAGGCACTCAGAGGGTTTTGTGCAATTCTGGATCATGCGGTATGGAGAGGATACTCTGCTGAGGAGAGCTGCAAGCCATAGTCCTTTGGTAGGGGTGAGGAGATGTCTGACAGACTGTCATAGGCAGCAGGGGGTTGTCCCCCACCCCTGCTATAGGGAAGCCTGGGTGTGTGGGAATGCAGAGGCAGAAGTCTCCCAATCAACTGCCACTCTGGGAGGCGAGGCAACCTTCGTGGCACCCATGTGCCCAGAGGGACCTGATTAACACAGGAATGGAGTCATCAAGTTCTTGATCAAGAACATCTCGACCAAGCATCACGGACACTTAAACTGGCCCCAAAGCTAGTTTGATTCCCATCTGGAGCGGCTTCAGTGGCCGCTCAATCAAGCATCCAGGACAACCTGGCACAGCTGCTTGTCTCCACCCTACACTCTGCCAGCGACCTTTTCATTCAGTCCGGTCTAATGTCATACTCCCAGCCATGGTGGACTCTTCCTGACAAGAGACCAAATTCCAAAGTGGGGTACCACAGACCCAAAAGTGCCCCCGTGTTTCTGGGAGGGGAAACCATTCCTCAGGCTCAGAAGGGCAATGAGGGGCTTCTGCTTCCCTCTGTGCTGGAAGATCTGGTGGCCTGAAAAGTGACAGGAGATGTCTGAGCGGTGGGAGAATGACAGGGACAGAGACGGCTTTATCACCACCTGTGATGAGACAAGAAGCCAAACATCCAACAGGGCCTATGGCAGAGGATGCAGAGGCCTAGCGTTGGGGAAGGGCACAAAGGGGATGGGTTCCTAACATGAGATTCAAATCCTCCTGAGCACAGCAATTCTCTTGCAGATACAAATGGGAGTCTTGGGAGATAATAACACCAATGTGAATCCCAATGCGGCCACTACCCCCCCTCGTCCTGGTCCTGCTCCTACGGCCACTCCTCCTCGTTCTGCTGTGGTCACTCCTCCTCGTTCTGCTCTGGCCACTAACCCTCGTCCTGCTCCTGTGACTAACAAGGAGGTAGCCCCCAAAACTTCTGTAGTCAATAAACCCCCTGCGAAACCCCCAAAGAGTGGGGCCTCCTCACTCATCGATGTGGATTCCTGCAGTTTCTTCCTCTTCGCCAACACCTTAATGTGCCTCCTCTACCTCGGCTGAGGTGATGATGTTGCTTCTACAGCCCTGTGCTCCTCAAACAGCTGCCACCATCAGTAGCAAGAAACACCCCAACCCAGTCTTTGGAAAGTGTTAACACCAGAGAGCCCAGGAAGTGAAAATTGACAGCCAATGGCCAAAATGGGGAGGGGCTGGTGGAAGGGGGCAAGTGACACCCAGCTGGGGCTCAATAAAGTTCTACTTATGCTTAGCTGGGCCTCCCATGTGGTCACTGGTTATTACCGACCTCAGGAGGCATGTGTGCAGCAACGTTAGCTTTCTGTGGCCATGTGCAGGGAAGGTGGCACCAAGATGGCACCTCCCCCAGGTTCCCTAACTTAGAGCCACCTTGCAGAGACAAGGACAGGAAACTGTCACCCTCACTGCCACCGTTAGTTGTATTTGCTTCACTTGTGCCTGGTACTTGGGAGTGACGGACCCAGCTCTACCCCCTGCCCCACACAACACTTTTCAGGCTGTATCCCACCCCCATGACCCAGGTGTCTTCATAATGACAGATGTGGGGACATCACATCTTGGCTCCGTTTCTCTCAAAACCCCCAATTGGAGTGCTGTAGACCCAGAAGCACCCCCGTGTCTGGGAGGGTTCATGGAAGGGCATCTCATGACTTGTCTGTCCATCACGGGGCTAGCAAGTGTTGCCACCCACACTCACAGCCAGGGAAGGCAGGAAGGACAGCCAGGCTCCTCTAACTGCTTCCCCTCCTGGGCTTGGGGCTGCAAAGTGACAGGGAGCCCAGACTGGTAACCAAGGCCCCTGCCTCTGTGTCTTCGCAGGAACCTATGCCCAGAGGACTGGAAAGTGACTACAGCTCCGGGCCTCTGACAGCCTGACCTGTCTGTCCCCTAGCTAGGGACCCAGCCCC